ATATTGACAGAAACATAACGAAGAGGGACAGCAGTCTTAGTCACGTGTCAGACCGTGCTGCATTGCCATTTACTGCTTTGTTGGTAGAGACTGCTGGTAGAGAAATGGAATGGTTACATTTTGGTAAAGACAAGAACAAAGTCTTGCCATCCTGAAGTTCCTGTGTGAAGCCAGTTTCCAGGACAGGTAGGTGAGGCCTCTGCAGGAGGCTCAGCTGCTGCATCTCTCATAGTCTCGAGGCAAAGCTGAACTCCTCCTGTCCATGCCCTGAAGCAGCAAGATGCAGTTTGCTCAAAACCCACACAACTGTGTTAGGATTGTGCTGAGTTCAATCTATTTCACCCTGCATCTTAAGAAGATTTGGTAACCTGAGTAAAGCCTGTACTTAACCATAATCAGGTAGCTTATGATGTAGGGGAGGCTGCAGCTGGCCAGCTCTGCTGTGGAATCTGTCTGCAAAATACCACTTGTACATATCCAGACGTGCCATTACATGTTTTCAAGTTCTTCTGGCAGCCAAAGATAAAAAGAGGAATGCTTGTAGCTGGACCTTTATCTGTAAGAAAAACCTGCAGAAATACCTTGTCAGCATAATACATAAAATTACCCTAAGAACTACATAGTAACACTTCAAAACAAAACTGGTTTTGGATTTTTTAGATACTGAGTCAAGCTAATTTATAGTAGCTAATTATCAGTCCAATATAGCCCAGTATAACTTTTTTCCTATTTCAAGTGCAGCTAGTATTTATATTTTGAATTTTGGGGGGAGGGGGGGTAAAAGTAGTTTAATTAATTTTTAAGTGCTTATTTTTATTTTTAATCTGCAGTTATTTGATACTGCAATTAAAAGTACAAGTTCTCCTTTCCATCCACCACAAGCTAATAAGCTACTTAAGGGTTTTTTAGAAGCCAGTACTCCGGAGCAAATTAAGCAACAAGAAAAATAATTAATTCATTATTTATAGTAACTGTATGGGTAGGAAATGTGTGCCTTAGCCAGATGTTTTGAACAGTTTAATTGTAAAGCCTGGTTTAATATGTAAAACCAGTATCCAATATTTACTGTAGTTCATCTTTAGTGTCTGATTCTAGAAAAGTACTTTTAACTGCAAATAGTTTTCACTTTTGTGAGTTAGGGACTTTGCCTAGTTTTGAACATTAATTCCACATATTTCAGTCTTTTCAGGTGCAGAAGAAAATAAGATCAAATATATTAAAAGTAGGAGGTTGTTTTGGTTCCACAGAAGGCTCTTTTCTGGGTGTGGTGGGTCCTATTTCTGTACTATAAAAGTGCCATGCTACTCCATGGAATTTTTAAAATGTTCATTAAGGGGGCATTCACAACAACTAACTGTAGCTAAGAAGGTTCGTCTCATCTTCCCTTAAAAGGGGAAAAACATTCAGAGACCAGCTGCTACAGAGGAAATCCACAGACATTTGGTCCCCTTGAGTTGAGTTAGTTTTTATGATTATACCCCCATAGCTGAGTGTTATTAACATTTTGGTGGTAAAGTCTTGGTGATTCTAAAGTAAATGGCAAATTAACAATAGCAGAGGGCTCAGATGATATGTCTCAGTTTAAAGTGCCTCAAAACCAGGCCAAATTTGAAAGTGTCGCGGTTAAACACTCCTCAGAATACATTTGATATGGTTTTTATTGGTTTTACAGCCCTGGGGCTTGGAAACCTACCCTTTGTCTGTAATATCTGTTTATTTATGAAGCTAAGGTTTGTAGAATAAGAGCACATTATGAAGACCACATTAATATCTCTACTGCAAAAATTTCACAAGAGACTTTCCAAACCAGTAGTGGCATAGTTTTAAGATCAGCAGGGAACATCCATATCAACAATTGCAGGGTGTCTACTGCAGAACAGGCTGGTTTGACATGTCTAAAGCCTGAGAAATAGCAAAGATCCTCCAGTGTCACTCCTTTGCTCACAGGCTATCCTATTTTTCCTCCTTTGAGATACCTTTTTTGTGGATCTCCCTTAGACCATAGAAGTCCTACAGTACAGGTGATAATACTGGATATTCATTCTACATCTGAGTGGTGATAGATGCCAGACCAATTATTGCTAATAATTATAAAGTCTTTAAAGAAATGGTCACTACTGGAGAAGCAGCATTCTCAGTGTTTAATGTTTTTAAGAAAGAAGAAGCAGTAGGATATTTGTATGCAAAATGTTCAGTTTCTTTCAAAAGGCTGCCTGAATCATTCTCTTGAGGGTCCCAAATTCTGCACAAATATTCATAATATTTAATGGTTATGTGTATGATTGTCATACTGTTTCATTGTATGACTGTCCATGAGGTTACTGAAGTAAACCAGAAGTGAATTATGGCAAATCAGAACTCTGAGACATAAAAGTTATGTCCGTCAAGGATAATGCTGCTGTGCATACCTCTGTGCTTAACGGTCACACAGAATAGTTTTATTCTGGAACTAAATTTATCTCAAGACATTGAAATTTAATTTAGAGAGCTTTGGTGCTAGTTATTTGCATTCATAGACCTGTTTTGACGCACTGCTACATCTATTTTATGTCACCCACCTACGCATCAGTACATATCAAATACATTAAATACAAGTAAGAATCAAAACGCTGCAGTGGTTTGGTTCATTCAGTATAGCCATTGTCTCAGGGTTTAACTCACATCTCAGAACTATGGTGCAGATTGTGTTATGCCAACTAGTGGAACAATATTCAATTTTTCCAGGATAGATAATATGGCTGCACATCGCTGTAAAAAGGAGGATTGATGCTGAACGATTGCTGGCTTTACAACCATCTGTTAGGATGCAGTGTTTTAGTCATTATGGTAAAATTAAAAATTTAATAAACTGTCATGAAAGTAACCCTTATTACCTGGTTTACATAATTTTATGTGTCTGCAAGAGTTGCTTGCCCCTTTCTTTGTCTGCATGACATGTCAGTACAGTAAGCATGAGTATGTAAGAAGCAGAACTGTATAAATTTAGAAAAATTCCTTTAGCTTGGGTCTTTTCAGAAAGTAGATTGGTTATCCCACAAGAATCTGAGTAAGCATAAAATTAAGCTATATATGTAACAAAAGAACAAAAATCAAAAAGTCAGTGTCCATCTACCTCCAGAAGTCTTGTGTGCAGTCTGCAGCACAAGCTTTGCTTACACAGAACTTCTCTGTGTCTCACTTTTCAGAGCTTTACTGTTTTTCTAAACTTCATGTTTGTGGTCTCACAAGTTATTGTCAGAATGAGAAAAAGATGATGTTTGTCTCTTTTCTTTTACATCAATAAACCGTAACAAATCCACATGACACCCAACTTTAGTTTAATGATCAGTGAGTATCAACCACTAGCCATTTTTCAAACATAACATTTAAATCCCAGCAGATTTAATCAAGCTAACCAAAAGATGCCCATTGTAGTTCCTTGAGTTACACAGGGACATGAACTCACCGAGAAATTTTGGAGAAGTATTTCCTTTTCCTTTTAAAGATGTCAGTTCTTCAAAAGCAGGGCTTTTTTCACAAGTTTCCTCTGGAAGGCTTTTCAAGTTCAAGATACAATTTCTGGGCAAAATCAGGATAAAATCCCATGCCCAGAGCAATTCTTGTTTTGCACACTTTTTTGAAATATGAAGCTCATTTCACCAGCAACCAATTGCATACCCTCAAGAGCCCATGGTCAGGGAGGTGTGTGCCCATCTCCCTTCAGCCAAAAAAACATCATACAGTTGCCAAGGAATAAGAAGGTCAGACTTACCTCTGTCTGGGACAGTCTGCAGTCTGTCTTGTACTCTGCACAGAAAAGCATTCTTCTCTTCCTAGGGGCTTCATTTTTTTTGTCTTCTGTATACTAGAATTACTGAAGTGTAGGATTTTAAAGCCCAGGATTATCCAGGATCAACTAAGTCCTCTTCAAATTTGTGATTATGTCAGTTCAGTAGTTTTAATGGTTCTCTGCAAACTTAAAAATGTTTAGAAATAGTAAAGGTGCTCACTATATTACCTTTTTCCTGCTCATGTAACCAAATAATAGCCTCCCATTTAAAATAAGGACAGCTGGAAAGATATTTACCTGAGAGAAGTATTTGCATTTTATATTCTTAGGGGGAGAAAAAAATAATAAGGTGCAGTATTTTAAAGGAATTCAGTATATTTGCTCTTTAGTTTCTTACACTTTCTGAACTCAAGATTTGATTGGAGATGTCTAGTCTCCATTGGAGATTCTGCAACTGTGACTGAAGTCCATCATACTTGGTGCTAGTAGACTCCTGAATCCTGCCAGCAGGAGTTGTCTCCAAGTTAGAGTGAGTCCAAGTCTGGGATCAGTGGTGATATATAAGTTGCAATGTTTTAAAGCAATTCAGATATTTGCTTTTCAGTTTTTACACTTTTTCATCAGTCATGCAGTTCTCTGAAATCTTACTCCCAAATATCAAGAAACCAATAATAAGAGAAAAAGTCTGATTATAAATTCCTGGATCAGTGATCCCAAACAGTGGTCCATGAGGCCTTGTTAAGTGCCCTGCAAAACTGTCCTAAATACTGTTTTCTGTTGCAAATCTGACAAAGTTTCTAAAATTTTTCTCAACAAACACTGAGGTTCCCACTAATCCACTGTCCAAAAAGTAATCTCTCTTCCAGGCGATATGACAAACATGACATATAAAATTATTGCTGACTGGTGGTCCTAACCACCTCCCACCCCTTTTTGGGCAGAGTAAGTCTGCAAGTTGCATCTCGCACTGCCTTGGCCAGGGTTTGCAGACTGCTGCTGTTTCCCCCTAAGGGAAGGTGCTGCGTGGCCCCTAAAGCTGATCCTCCCAGGCTTTACCCTCCCCCTTCTCCCTTTTGCTCAGTTAACATCTGCCATTGTCTAATTTGGTGACATTTTGCTTCTGAGTTCTGTAAGGAGGGGCTATGAGATGATGGTGTGAGAGAGCAGTGGTCATTTTTACTGTGTATAAACATGTCTTCCCTCCTTCCCCCCCCACCCCACCCCTGAGCAGCGTGCTCGACAGCGCAAGTCGCCTGGATGAAGAACATAAGCTGATCGCCAGGTATGCAGCAAGGCTGGCAGCAGAAACTTCTTCATCAGTAAGTGTTATAATTAAAGGAAGGTACTTTCCTTCTGTCATGTTCTAGGGGCTTGGCAAGATCAGGAAAATTGCATCTGACAGTCTAATGATTAATGGATTATTTTTCCCTGTCCTTTTCATCAGAGGCTGTTATGCTTTAGTAATAACATTTTTATGCCATCCATTTAAACCAAAGAATCCACATACTAATGCATATAATCTATATACTAATGCAATGGTATTTAAATAATTACATCAAAAAGAATCTGACATCTTGAACTCAGGAAAGACTAGAAAATACTGTCTGGACTAGTTTGGTTAAAGGTTAATGATTTACTGCAGTGGAAAAATGGGTGGTGAATCCATTTAACTCTCTAGTTCAAATATCAGAGCCACTAGGGCCCTAAGTACTAAGGATTTTAAAGAACGTTCTTCAGCAGGATGACTGTAATGACCCCCTGCATTAGCCCTGGCTCCCATTTTCATTTCAGAGCGATGATTATTCTGCTCTATGTATCCCAAGATAGAAGGTGATGACAGGCTAAAACCTCACTAACTGCATTCAGGAACAAGAGAGAATGAAGCAGGAACCTAATCAAAGTATATAAAATCTTAAATGGTACACATAAGGTCAACCTAGTTACTTTTTTTCCATCTCAGCCCATTTGGTAGAACAAGGGACCATAAATGATGGTTAAGTGAAAAGCAGCTGGTACAGAGTGCCCAGAAACATTTTCACACAGACATTTACACTGCAGGGTCAATTGAAAGGGTGAAATTGGGCACCACAGTTCATGTAAAGACAGTGATTAACACTCATGCCATGAGAAGACAAATATGCTGCCCCATGCAGCTGTCTGTCATGGAAGATTTCAGACTACCTGCAGCTACGTGGGGAGAGAAGGGTGCTCCTACTCTGCCAGCCAAGCCAAAATCAGTCCTTTCCAGAGGTGTTTCAAATTTAAGGTAACCTGTAGGTGATGGTGCTGTTTCTGAAGGACAGTAATCCTTTATGGGAACAAGATTTCTCATTAATAACATCCCTGGGTAAAAACTGGTTGAAATCAGTTGTGTACAACATGTGTCCTCAATATGGGGGAAAACTTTGGAAACAATATAAATAGAGCTGGTTTGAAGGAAAATACTGAGTTTCTCATTGCCATTCATCTGTGCTCTTTGAACAAAAGAGACAGAAGGAAAAGGAAAGGTTTCTGTATACAGAAATCTTTCCAAGCACAAGAGTGGCACCAGAACAGGAGCACAGTGGAAATTTTTAAAGCTTTACTGATGGCCATTCTGGTTTTTAAGGAACAAAGTCTATTAATAACAGTGGGCATTCAGGGTAAAGATCCTGATTCCTCCTGTATCAGTCATGACATCCACCAGCTTGTATCATTTCACCTTTATGCACTGTTCTGCTTCCCTGTGGCTGAAGTGTTAATAGGAAAATAGTTAATAGTTTTTCTGTTAACAGAAAAAATAGTATATGGTTCCAGGAAAAATATACTGTCCTTTCCTCACAGACAGTCCTAACCTTTGTCAGATTCATTAGGCTATTGAGATGTATCTTCACCCTTTTTGAGGGTCCACCTCCTAGAGAAGGAAATGCCTGGCATCACATAAAGTAGGGCTCCAGGGTTACACTTCACAGGGCTTTCTACGGTGAGGAACACTCATATCGCAGCAGTAACTCAGCAGGGTATTTTTAAATGTCTGATTCTTTCAGGGTGGAGTTAGAAATAAATGGATATCTTTGGTAGCTGTGAAACTTAAATGTCTGTGTTGTCATTGATACAATACTGAAATACAGGAGTGAGAATAGGGAAAATGGTAACTGGTTATTGTTAATGAACATGGAAAAAGAGAGCATAGTCCAATGAATCTTTAGTGAGCACTGCCTAGTCTGGTAAGAAATTGTTTAATTCCCACCTCCTTTTATCGGAGGGAGGAAAGGTTTTGCTGTACCTGAAGGACTGGGGAAAGAGGTTTTCTGAAGTATCATCAGAGCGTATAGGAATATTTGGCCAAATGGGTCACACAACCAGGCTGAAAACTGACTACAGCTTTCAAACTGAGTGTAAAGCCATAGTTTCAAGAGAGTAAAACATCACTGCACTGGAAACACATCCCCTTCTTTTTGGAGGCAGACACTGGTTTTTGCTTCAGTGCATTCCTCTTGTCTGTAGCATCAAAATCAAGAGCCATGTTGCAGCAACTGCCTGCAGCAGTGCCATTGCCTTTTATGACTGGTTCAGAGGAAGCTCCTTGAAAAAGCAATGAATGACAGGATCGTAAACACTAGTCTTATTTACTCTAGCACTTACTCTGCTTTTACTAGCAATGGAGCCATACCGACATGAGCACAACATGGATGCTCTTTTTTTAGTGTAGGCAAGCCTGGTACTGCATTTTCTGTAAGCAGATTTCACAGAACAGATCTGTGTTGAACTCATTGGTGCATGCTGGCTATTCCTCTTTCAATGCAGCCTTCTCTGTTTTACAACAGCAGCAGAGTCAGCAGAGAGGAGCATCAGATATCTCCTTCACCATTGATGCAAACAAGCAACAAAGGCAGCTGATTGCAGAGCTTGAAAATAAAAACCGGTAAGCATCCCCAAAGTACCTGGTTTTGTTCAGTACCATATGTTTGTTTGTTTCTTAGCATTTTTTGCCACCTACACGCATACAACGTGCTTATACACGCGCATGCATCTCGCCCTACAAAAAGCACGGAGCACGAAAATAGCCACACAATATGACAAAGGCTTTGAAATCCATAGCTGCCCCATGTTTTCATAAGCATACTGTTCAATGACATGATATAATCATTGATACTTTACTGTTTGCAGCTGCTGTTTGTAAAGAGTTTAAAAAAAAAGCCTATCCTGTTTCAAAACCGGATTAACTTTCAGTCGGATCCTCTGTAGCCCTATAACATGAAATGATAAAAGGATCAGTCACGCTTGTAATGTTATGCTCCCCTGCTTTTATTTGGGAAAAACATGATTAAAGCTCTCCAGAACACAGTCTGCCTGCGAAAGGCTTACAGAAAGGTTAGCAGCAAGTTAGACTGCTGATCAAATGAGACAGGAGGTACAGATGCGATGGAGACTGAGAGACAGGGTCCAGGAGAAATAGGCCAGCCAGCCCCAAAAATGAGTGATGCCTATTTGTCAACAACAGAGAATTGGGCCCTGGGTATCAGACTGCCTGATGCCATGAAACGTATGGCAGCAGAGCTCTGCTTTTAGTGCTGGACTGTAAAACAGAGGCCAGCCCAGACCAGATGGTTTCCTATTCCAAACTCTTCACTGCCTTCTGTCACCGTGTAATGAGCACCACCAGCTCCGGTCTCGATTTGTCTTTCATAGTTCAAGGCTGCCTCTTGACCGTCTGCTGTCCAGCACATTGTGAAGAAGAGACAAAATTCACAAAGGTTTCTACCTTCTGCTGTAAAGCTTTGTATTAGCCTTTTGACAGCACTCCAGAGCTGACAAGCCAGTCGTAACAAGACCTATTAAAGTGCTTCTTTGTGAATTGTTGACTGCTCTCACATCTCTATTTACACTAAAAGTATTTTTAAGTGCCAAATGTTTTGTCTCATACTCAAGAACGGCCAGAAAGGTTATTTTAATTTTTGTTAAGTTCCTGAAGTGCTTGAAATGTTCATGGTGAAGAATTAGAAGGGAGCAATTCAGTTAATCTTAGAGCCGTTTCGTGTCTACCTCTGATTTTTGGGGGTCTCGAAGAAATATTTCCCTTTATGGCAAAATCTTAAGAGTTTGTTTAAAAAACATCCAGAGCTCTCTTCTATTGCTGAGAGCTTCTTTGGTTGGTTGCAGCCCAGTCATTTTATCTACATCTACATTGATGAAAAGCTACATACAGTCATACTTTTTCTCCTCTTACGATGGTCAGTGAGCTGGTTTGGTGGAAAATTACTGACTTGTAGTCTTCTGCTTACTCTCCTCCCCAAGAGAAATCCTACAGGAGATCCAGAGGCTGCGACTTGAACATGAGCAAGCATCTCAGCCCACACCAGAGAAGGCACAACAAAATCCCACTCTCCTTGCAGAGCTCCGGCTGCTGAGGTAAGTCCGCAGAACCTCTGGCCATGACACAGGCCAAAGAGGTATCCTCAATAAGAGACGAACCTTGCTTATGGTTTTGGGGGCTTTTTAAAGTAAGTAGAACCTGTGTGTACTCTTTCTCCATTTTTTAGTGCAGCCTGTTGTCCTGGAAGTAATTAAGCTTATGCTTTGAACTGCATGCATGAGGAATCTCACATATTACACATCTACATTAGATTAAGAATGTGCATTAGTGTTTGTAGAGTTAGAGGCCTTAGCTCATTTGCAATAGGTCCCCAAAGCCTTGACCAGATGCCATTAATCATATAGGGAAAAATGTTCTGTCAGAACAAACGCCTTTAAGAAGGCTTTCGTTAATGCTGAAGAAAATACAGAGCTACATGAAAATGCAGCCAGAATTAGGTGTTAATTTTTGGAAATTCTCCCCCAAGTGTTGAACTCTAAGGAGAGGTCAGTTCTCTTTATGCTGCAAAAACAGGATACAGAATGATGCTCCTTATCACATGGGAGGTGAGGAGTAGCATCATCTGCAGCAGTTGAAGATTTAGGGGATCATTTCTCCAGTTATCCTACTCAAGCTAAAAACATTGATATCAATGTGTCTGCATGTTAATTATGATACTCTACATGGATTTATTAATTGCCATGAATTGAAGAAATATAGTTGTCATTGGCCCAGATCCATAGGCTCTCTGAAAGTCTTGAAGTTCGTGTTGTGAGAGCCAGACAGAGAATCCAGTAAGAGCTATTCAAAATGCTTCATAGGAATAGAGAATAGGGTGTAAGCACTTGCTTTCCAATGAAACAATGCTAGTTTGCTCTGCCCCCATAGCAGTTCTTTCACGAGAAGACTAAAGAACACTGTTGGCTACTTAGCCACTCCTCACACAACTAATTCTTTAGTGGTCTGATTCATTTCAAAGGAAATTACTGTAAGAAATTGTGCTAAGTTTTTTTCTTTAGAAATACTTCATAGTGTTATTATGGCGTTTTCCACACTAAAATACTTTTCTGATTCACAAATAATTACATTTGCCCTCCAATCTGAAGACAAAATAGCTTCTTTTTTTCTATTAGTGATTTTAGTATGTAATTACTTCTAGATATCTACAGGCAAGTGACATTCTGTGAGACATATAAAACTGACTGTGATGAAAATGTGTACACTGTATGAAATATACCAGTAATGTAGCTCTTGTGCATCAAAGCTGAAGTCTATTTTCAGCAGGTTTAGGAGATTAACTTCCTATGTAGTTGATAAATAAAATTCAGTATACTTTAAAAAAAAATGATTGTGCAGTGTTAGCAGGCTGACTACCTAATTTTTCCCTCTTTTCAATTTTGATACACATATTTTAATTTCCTGACATGGGATGTCCCTAGGGCAGTGATGGTGAGTTCCTCAATTATATCTTCTCTGATTTAATAGAAGTGTCATAGTCAGAAAATAACTTTTAATCTGTGGGTCTGAACTGCTTTGCATGCCTTCTAAATGTTCACCATTTGAAAGGCAAAAGTCTGACTTTTTATTTACTGGGGAATTTTGACACCAACTCCAATTCTTAGACACCTAAGATGGCACAAGGCTGTTCTTATGTGTAAAACAGCAGGACTCAGAAAAGTAGCCCTGATTTATGTCTGTTACCCCACAGATTTTTATGTCTTGATGCACTTAGGGCAGCAGGGCAATTTAGTTCATATTGTTTTAAGAATTGCTGGAATCTGTAAATTATGTTGTGGGAAGTTGTCCCAGCATCTTTCACTAGCTCTTATAGAGTTGCAGAGTTACTGAAATGAGGTTCTGAACACAACATTCCTTCCTATTACCAGTACTTGGAAAACCCATTACTTACAAGAACCTGCTCTGGAGTACAGCAGGAGAAAAACTTCAGAGGAATGGTCTGTACAGCGCACACTGCTTAGATCCTAGATCCTCTCTCCCCGTGGAATGAACCTAAAACCCAGCAGAGATCTGTGCTGGGACCTGCCACTTTGAATTACACAGACCTTTTTTTTATTATCAGTTTTTAAACTCCATTGCCTTTGTACAATTCACAGAGTTTCCAACTATTACATGCCCAGAAAAGAAAAGCCAGCACAGGCATTTTGTAGCAGAAAACAAATGAATCCTTCAGAAGAGTAAATGCAACCTGGCAGTGTTACTATCTGATTCCATTATATGGATGAGAGATAGCACACATGAGCAGTCCTGTAGAAATCAGCATTGCTTACTTATATCAGCAGGTGCTCACTTAGAGAGAAGGGTTTTGTATTTCCCTAAATACAGGAAATGTACTTAAGTTTTGTTGGCTACGATACTTTTCCATTTAGGATTGAGTTGTCATGTTTTTGTAGGTAGCAGAAGGCTAAAAACATACTGTTTTTATGTTATTTGCAATACAGTAGTGTATGAAATATCCCTAATATGTATATTTTTTTAACAGTAATGTTGTTAATTACATCACAGCTTCCAGGAGATAACAATTTTATTTTGGTTTTAGATGGGGACCTCTCACACAATTTAGTGATCGAACATGTGCAAGTGCTGATCCCCCATCCTGTGCAGTGGAGCTATGCAGAGTCAAAGCTGTTCACATTTATGGAGGCACAGAGTGGCTGTCACACTTGGAGAAGCTCAGTATTCACACTGTCACAGGACCACCACTGGACTCCGAGTCCAAAGAGCTGATTTCAAGCAGTTATATCTCCACTATGTGATAGTCTTACTCTTGCTTTCAGGAAAAATAGAAACAAGAGCAGTTTTCTGTCTGAATTTCTGAACTCTCTTAACTTCTTTCATATCTCACTGTGTTCAGTGCCCCTGCTGTAATTTCCTGTCCTTTAGGGCATGGCTTTAATTTCTCCTGACAGCTAGTGAGGTTATTGACTAGAGAGTTCCAAAGACAAAAATTGTCTGCATTTCCTCAGGGGAATATAACACAAATTTGTTTGAACCTCATTTGTTCTTTGAAGAAGTGTCTGTGTCAGTGCCTGTCTTTCCCCTAATCACTGTATTCAGTCCCACGAGGATTCTCGATATGAGGGAACTCGCTAGCCTTCATGTAGCCCTGTTTCTCAGCACTATGCTGAATTCGTACAGTGTGTTTGCTTTCCTGTAGTCTATAGGCCTGTATCTCATAGCAGGGCTGGGAAAATGATGCATTTAAAAGCTGCCGATACTTTGAGGGTGTGAGCTCTGATCAGATCTGCTTGTTTCTCAGACAGCGGAAGGATGAGCTGGAACAGAGGATGTCTGCTCTCCAGGAAAGCCGGAGGGAGCTTATGGTTCAGTTGGAAGGCCTCATGAAACTGCTAAAGGTAAGGAGCTCCACCTGATACTAACAAGGAGAACAGACAGAATGAAGCAGGAGAGGAGAGGGAATCACAGAATTCTGCAGAACTTGACTGTTTCTACCCACAAAATTTGACTTTGTTTCTCTTCTTTCTTTTTATTTTTTGACTCAGTCTTTCAATTCAGGGGTTTCAAATGATGCTCAGATAATTTTGTTCCTGTTGCAACACTGCATCATCATTGTCACTTACTGCTAAGTAGAGTAAGAATAAGCAAAGAAAAAAAAACAATATATAAGTTAACTATTAGCTATGAGAAAAAAACCTCAGCACTGTACACTATTACCTTTTCCAGCTGACTCTATAGAATTGCTTTGCTAGTTCCTTTAAGTTTGCCCATTCAGTTGCTGGTTCTGTCAGATGTGCCATTTGACAACCCAGTCTAACTCTCTCACCTTGGAGATGCTGCCCCTACAACCCCTGTTCATTTTCACAAATACAGAAACATGCCCTTGTTGAACAGATAAAACATGCCTCAGCAAAGGATCTCAGTTACAAACAAAGATAACAAAAAGCATGTGCATTTTTAAAGACTAGGATAAGATGGAAAATGTGTCTTTATTTGCAGACTCCAGCCCTATTTTACCTGATGTGCCTCAGGACAGATGATGCCAGAAATTTACATGGGAAGAAAGAGTTCTGAATAGTGTAGGAGTCTGTTTTGTTGTTGGCCTTGTCAGATCAAATGAGTGCATGGAAATTCACTGCAACTTGGGTCATATATGGCTCTGATAAAAGCAGAAGGAATTTCACTCAAGTCCATTCGACAACATGTATTTTGCATTAAAGGATGGGTTTGACCCCTTATGTCCCTTTCACCTCCTCAGACACAGGTTTCTGCAGCCACAATGCAGGAATTGGTGGTGCCTGAGCATCAGAGCCCACCTAATAGCCAGTATATTTTTGGGAGCTGGATTAGGCAGAAAATTTTTGCTCTGCCTATGAAATGCTGCAGTGCTACAACTAGCCATGAGGGCTGCTTGATGTCAATGCACTGCCTGGACGAAGACAATTTGGAGTAGGAAATGAGAGCAGCTTTCTGCATGCATTGCACTGTTTCGGTGTTTCAAAGTGTGCAGAGGTGGGACCTTAACCTGGTCACGTATCTTCAACTATCTTTGTACCTTTAAAACCCTGTACTCCAAATTTGGATTTGTTTTCTGTTCTTTGCTTAAATCCCAGCTAATCTCATGTGCTGATCCTCTTTTTCTTTAGGAAGAAGAATTGAAACAGGTAGTAAGTTACCTCCTTATTGCAGGCCTCACTAACTCCTAAATGGGATTGTGTTCCTGTGATTTATTTTACTTTGTCTGCTTGAGAAGTGTGTGTGTTCTTTTGACCAAAATTAATAGTTTGCTATTCTTTCCCACATTATTTTCAAATATCTTGGAGCAGTTTTCACAGCTGAATATCTTAGCCCTCTAGAAAGTGAGTCATGACTACAAGGAATCTTCATCTTTTTCTCACTCCTAAGTGAAAACACGTGAGGTTTTTACCTTACGTCGTAAATGTGATGAAATCAACCTAGAATATGGATTTAAAAACATTTATACCATACATAACATTTTGAAAATGTAATGAGAAATTTGGAACTTAAAGAAAAATGTAACTGAGCTTAAATCAGACCAGGGAAAATAGTTTGAAATCCCATTTTACCCAGAAAAAGTCAGGGCATCGTGTGCACATCTTTAAAAATTGGCACTAATGCTAACATTCCCATGAGTCTTCAGGAGAATAAGTGGTTTCTGCAACCTAAATCGAAAAGAGCAAGTATCTATATTACTAATAGTAAATTTTAAAAGATTTGTTTTGGAGCTTATTAGTTTTGTAATGGATCTTGGAAATATATTAGGCTTTTAAAAAAAGGCACTTTTCAGATGGCAGTTTGATTTATGAGTTCAATAAAAATGTTTCATTTTAACAAAACACACTTCCTCTCGCTTTCATCAGCAAAAGTACAGTCACAAGTCTGATGTGTTCTGTCTACGGTAAAGAGTTTGTAGGTAATGCTCACCTTCATAAAACTAACGCTGGATAATTTTTGTAGAGCATCGATCTACACACAAAAAAATAAAGCTGACCAAACATCACTTCCATGTAAAGGTTGTCTTTTTTGATTCTGCAGTATTAAGAGATATTCCATTCGCAAAAGAGAAGTTTCCAATGCGGCAGGAGTTTCCAGATCATATAAAATGTTCACTGGACAGTATAAGTGAAAGCACATTTTCAGGCTGTTATGAGATATTTTTATGAGATTTTTTTTTTCTTCTGAGAGTAATAGCCTCACTGAATACCAGGTGATGATGCTAAAGAATTACTCTCACCATTTCCATTTAATGATCCTCATTATGCTATGCCATTTCATGATCTGTTGAGAGAAACAGGATTAAATTAATTTCTGGAGGAATTCAATCGGAATGAGCAGCCTGGCAATTCCTCTAATGGTTATAAACTATCTACTTTCTCTACTGCCTTTCCTTGAGAAAGGATAATGAGTTCTTCACATCCCTGTCATTTGATGGGCTTTCCCCATATGTTATCCCAGTTCAGTCCCGGCAGAGGGAGCAATGGGCTAAAGCTCCTGTAAAGCCAGTTTTCATTTCAAGCATTTTATCCTAAGCATGCATGACACTTGGTAGCGGGAAAACCTTTCCTGTGTGGCAATAATTAACTTAAAAGCCATAGCAGTTTGACTAGGGATGGTGAATAAAATAAAATACATGAAAGTTTTCCTAAAAGGCATGAGGATGCTGATAGCTGCAACCAAGTGCAACACAAAAGTTGAAACCGTCCAAATATCCACGGTGGCTGTGGTAGCTCCCCTTTCAGCATGCCTTAGTTCTCAGCTGGTGGAGCTGCCAAGTTTTGGGATCAATTCAGTGCTCGATTTCTCTTTTGAGCTTACCATGAAGTTGCTACTGACTGGCAGAGCAGATTTCAGACCATTATCTCTAACCTTTGAGAACCACATCTCTCCCGATAACCACTAAGCAGGAGTACAATCCTAGTTGTGCTTCATTTGCACAAACTTGGGCTGAGGTGGATTTAGATGAGTAAAATATATTTAGTGTTCACCTCTCTGAAATCAGGCATTCCCTAATACCGTCCTGTTTCAACTTGCTCTTCATCAGTTCTGTCTGATACTGACCAAATAGTATAAAAAATAAGGAGGTGTTTTTTTCCTGGACAAGGGACCCCAATTGCTTAATCTCCGTGTGCTTCCCAAACGCTTTGTTCCAGCACCAAAACCTACAGATGAGAGAACACTGTTTATCATAAACACAAGATCTCAGTCATAGCTGCAAAGCAGACACAGGGCAAGCACTGGACATGCAGCAGCTTTTGCATTTCTCTTGTGGGAAAATTCCAGCCCAGAAGTACTGGTAGGCATCTGTTATTTTTAGTAAATAAAATGCCTATCCTGAAATTCATTCCTGAATGTGGCTTGACTGTAGGAAGCAAATTTTGTCCATTTTTTTTTTTCCTCATCTTCTCTGAAAGTTCCCACTGTTTTTGGTGTTCCCTAGAACTGAGATCAAAGGCAAAGGAGAGCTAAGGAAAAAAGGCAAGTGAAAAAGGGCACTCGTCTTTCAGGGAGCTGGGAACCAAAAATTCTTTCGTAAATCTGACTGAGGCTGAAATATGCTCCATTGGGGCATAAAAGGAGAAAGCTGTAGATCCCGAGAGCCCTGCCTGATGTGCAGGGGGTGTGACTTCCAAGGACCTTGGAGCATATCCAGGTTGCTCTGTGCCCTAGCTCTGGAAGACTAGAGATCTGCATTTGTGCTGGAGCTGGTACAGATGATTCCAGAAACAGGAGAGCATCTGGCCTTTATATATTTGACTTGCCTTTCATCCATCATTTAAATGTTCTAAAACCGATCATTAAAGAAATTATAAGTATTAAATCCTCCATTCTTCCATCAGTAATGTGCTTATTCCTCATAAACCTAATTTGCCCTTGATGTCTTTCTGGGGATAATGTCTTTTAGAAAGGGGTGATAGGAGAGAAGAACAAATAGCCTAGTATTCTGATACATTATTTATGGTTCAGGGCAGGAATTTAGAAAAATCTCAAGGGCAGTGCTGCACTCATCCTGCAATGGGCTGCTCTTTTCTTTTTGGAACATATTTGCCAAACCATATCAGGACTGCAGCGGCAACCAATACAGGAGTCAAAATAAATGCCATGGGAAGAATTAAGAAATCCTCCTGAATTCTCAAAATAAATGGGGTAAATACCAGCCCTCAGGTCACTTTTGATTGTAAACAACCAAGGGCTTGTGTTACAATTCCCCTTTAACAGCACTCAAGCCACTTCCGTCTTTGGGATCTACTAAACACAGGTTTTCAGTCAAAAGCCATGTGCAGTTTGGTGTGGGCTCTAGCATTTGTTTTTCCTTACGTGGATAAACATTCCCAGGGGTTTGAATCAGTGGACGAGAGGAATACCATGTCTCTTGGTATCACTCACTCACCCAGCTGCATTAGTAAAAATTAGTATTCTGTAAAGTCTTCTTGAATTTCAGCTAAGTGATCCTAACTGTGAGGTGCTAACAGCATGACATTTATGTGACTGGTGTTAAAACGTTTTCGCTTCCAGCAGCTGAACCCATAGAAGGAATTTATACTGCCCTATCCCCACAGATTTTTGGGACTGCCTGAGTATGTCCTGTAGAGAAAATAATTTAATAGTGCATGATTTAATAGCAGCTCAAATAGTTCTCTAGCTCCAAATAAAAAGCAGAAAGTTTATTGCGAATGTCAGACTTTATGTGACTGAGAGGTCGCATGTACCATGAACTTGTCCTGCAGGGAGGCAGAAGGCAGGGCTGTGATCAGCTCTGATTTGATGAAAGGGGCTGTTTCAGTCCCTTGCTCAGGCTGAAAGCCATACTGGTGCCAGCATCTTTCCCCTTCTCACAGCCAGAACGGGTTATGTTTTATCAGGCATTCATGTGAACTGGGGGAGTGAGAGAGAGAAGAGGGCAGAGAGTTCTATAGTGTGGTGTTTATTAACTTGGATTTTTTTTTTAATTTAGCTGCCTGACATTTTCCCATGCTTAAAGGAAGTCAGATCTTGACTCATATTTTCCTACTTACTGTTTTTCTACACAGAAGCACTGCTGTCCACTAACAACTGACTGTGGTATATTTCTTCTAGCGTAATTAACATTACCCAACTGATCTACAAACAGCATGATGCCTTAAAGCTGAGGGATGGGTGACAAGGACAGCAGGCAGACTCTTGCAAAGACCTGTTTAACCCCTTGTGATTGTTTTGCAGACCCAAGGGGCAGGGTCCCCACGTTCCTCACCCAGCCACACGATCAGTCGACCTATTCCAATGCCCATCAGGTCTGCCTCTGCCTGCTCCACCCCAACCCACGCACCTCAGGACTCTCTGACCGGAGTGGGAGGAGACGTGCAGGAAGCCTTTGCACAAAGTAGGTCTCATAGCTTGTCTGAGGTACCCAGAGACTGAAGAATCATTATTTCTTGTGGTTACTGACTAAACGAACTTGAGCTTGAGAGTTGCATGCAGTGAAACAAAATGAAACAAAAAATATTTGCAGCAACTGGGTTTTGCCATTGAAAATCAACTTTGTCAGCCATCAGATCTTGCTGTCAAAGTGATCAGGTAAGCAAAAACTGGACAATGAAGCCCGTTAATGGATTTTTATGGTAAGAGGGAATGTTTGATCAAGATGGTCAAAGCGATTATCAGTGCTCTGTTAACCAGAAGAATTGCTATTGACCTCAGCAAGGCATTGTCAGTATGTTTGGGTTTGAATAAAAACTTTGCTAGAAATAGATGATACAATCATAGAATTAGTTCAGGAGGAAAGGGCTTTTGTAAGTCAGTGTGTTCTTCTGCTCCAAGAAACAGGGCTTCAAAGTGAGATGAGACCATTCAGGATCTTTACCAGTAGACCAGGCACACATTTTCCACAGTCTCTGTTCCAGTGTTTGATCATGCTTACTGTGTAAATTTCTTGTCCTTGTATCTGATTGGAACATCCTTGATGCAACTTGTGACTGTTGTCGCTTGTCTTTGCTTTGAGCTTCTGAGGAGGGTCTAGCTAGACTGGACAGGAATAGAGTCTGGAAGTCTAGGTGAACCCTTTCTTTGCATTTCCAGAAAACTGCCATCCCCCTTCCCACTCTTTTGTCAAGTAACAATAAATTTTAAACTGGTTTTGAATTTCTAAGGCCACAAATTATTATGTTGAATACTGAAAAAAGTGAGTCTGCTCTCTCCTAAAATATTTACATAATTGCAATACTGATTTGAATGATTTTTTCCCCCTCTTTCCCTAGTACAAATTAAATTTAAGTTTAAATGTAAGCTCTGAAGTTCCTCTGCTACAGTTGGAAGTGTGTTTGTTCCTGAGAGCCCAGGTCATCCCTCTCATGCACTCTTCCCCTTGATTTCCATGGGAATTGTGTCTTTGTGTATTATCTTAGGAGAAGGTTGAATCTGTAATGCAATCAAGAACTTTCTCCTAAAGTGCTAGTCAATTCATGTATAGAACAGAGGCATAATTCCTAATCCCATAATAACAGGTTGCTGCTGATCTCATTTTCTGTGGCAAAAGAAACAGACAAGATATGTTTGGTTTTTTTTTTTCTGCTGTGAAAAAAAACGAGACAGGCAAAAATACAAACTGCTAACCCCTGTGCTGTTATGGGACAGTTTCTTCCAGAGTTAAGAGTAATAGAAATAATTTAGTGGACACAATAAAATATCCATAAACAATACTAAGGCTGCCTCAGGCAAATGCATTTTAAGTGTATAAATGTGTTCTGGTCAAGTTAACGAGCAATATAAAAAGTTATGTGATCACATTTTAAAGCTGCTGCGTTTGATAAATATGTATCTTTGTGTCGGTATTTACTGTATTCTCTAGAAGGGAAGGTCAAACCCCAAGAACTTGAAACCAGCCATTCTGTCACATCTTGACATACGACTTTGTGAGGGGGGTTGGGCTGAGATTTTATGGCTCCATTCTCTACTGCACCAACAGAGATCTGCCTGTATATACATAATGCAGACAAACTACAGTTAAAGGACATCTTCTCTTCATTGTTTCTGTTTCTTTCATAGTGTTTGCAATAGTTCAGAGTTACAAAAGTGAGAAGACTTTAGAGAGGAAGTGGCTGGCTGTGTGTTTATCAAAGAGAAACTAACTACTATAATTTACATTCCAGTAATCATTTGTTAATGGATATATTAAAAAAACCCACCTCCTTAGGATTTGAGGAACTTTTAAAAATGTATTGTTTTGCATTCAAGCAGTTTTAAAAAATTTACAGCAGCCAAATCCTGCCAACTCTTGTAAATAATTCTGTTTGGAAGACTAGAGGTTCTGTGGGATATATTGATTATTCAGCTACAATGGTATCTATGTCTGGGATTTGGGGGAGTTGAGCATGCATTACCCACAGACCCCTCCTAAGGAAGGAGTATTTCATGCAGCTCACAAGAATCTTTCATGGTTGATGGTTAAGGGAATATTGCCAGGTTCAGCAGGGAAGCACTTCTAGATGCATTTATTAGAAAGAGTTTAAAGGCAGCCTGGGGCTGTTTAGAGAGGCAATAGCACTTCCTTTATTAAAAAAAAAAAAAAAAAAAAAAGGGGTGGGGGTGGAAAGAGAAACAGTAAATTATAGAATATACAAGAAAGTCCTTGAGTTACAGGAGAGACTGAGAGGGAGTGGAGAAGAGGAATCCACATATCCACATAGTCTTGGTGAGGTCAAGTGTGTTTCTTCAACATTTGCCATAATTATCCGGCAAATACCTGGCAATAATAGTGTCATTAAACAGAGCTGTGGGAACTTACAGAAAACGCTTCATTTCTTCCCTCCTCCCCCACAGGCACTGTAAATGAGTTCACACTGGATTTAATCTTCCAGGCCTGGTCTGCTGGTGTCACCACACAAATGCAAGCTTGATGGCAATGAATAATCTCCAGCTATCTGGCATTGTGATTAAATGAAGCGTGAGGGTAGGCTTCTGCTTTTGCATACAGCATAAGTAAATGAGGCCATTCTGCAGAGAACTCTGCTGCACGTGTCCTTCGTAAGGGCTTTGATACCCTGAATTATCACAATGACAGCTTTCAACGAGGTTAAAACTGCCTTCAAGAGGAAAACATATGTCATGTGAATAATCGTAACACTGTGCTTTGTCCGTCTCTTGCTTCAGGTGCAAGACGAAACTTAAGAAATGATCTGCTGGTAGCAGCAGATTCAATCACCAACACCATGTCTTCTTTGGTCAAAGAACTAAATTCTGGTGAGTGAGGTTGGCGAGGGTGGATAGTCATCACACTGACATTTCACATATTTCTGAAAAAAATGGGAGGCAGGAAGAGACAAAGCAACAAAAAAGCAATGTGATGTACCTTTAAAGCTTGTTATGCTTTTAGAAAAGAAATTCCTCTGTAACAGCTTCAGGAAAACAGCAGTTCCCAAAACCATGGATGTAGAGGTGCAGCAGGATATAGTGAAAACTTTAAGTTTGTTTGTTATTCCATACGGAGTGGGATTTCACTCTTTATAAAAATCATTCAGTATAGAACATACAGGACCTATTGTAAAATATCGTCTGTAGTATTCTCATTAAAATATCCTACTTAATAACTGAGATAAGCAAAAGCTTCAATATTGGGTCCCACCACAAGAAGAGTGGTGTTTTGCCAATAGCTGTAGAATAACATGCTGTTATTCACTGTGGAGGTGGCATTCTCAGTTGGAAAGGCAGAAAAATGCTTACAGAAATAGGCAAGAATACTAAACTTTTGTGAAAGTTAAATGGAAATTTTTGCTTCACAGAAGTGGGCAGCGAGACAGAAAGCAACGTGGATTCTGAATTTGGACGGACTCATTTTGATGACCTGGTTCCATCCCCGACGTCTGAAAAGGCTTTCCTCGCGCAGATCCATGCCCGGAAGCCAGGGTACATCCACAGCGCTGCTGCCACTGGCTCCATCCGTAGTGACATGTGGGTACCTGCTCAACCTTCTTAATCACGTTATTTTTCTTCTGAAAACAGTGTGCAGCATGCAGTATTTTCCCTCAACTATTTGATTACAAAAAAAGAAAAAGCATAAATCCAAGTGAGGACTGCTTCATGGTTAGATAGTAGTGAGGTTTGTAAAGGCTGGAATTTGGAATTCCCTCAGGAGTGAGCTGTTTCACATCCAGCCTGGTACACTCAGGCAGCATGGAGGCTGTTGGGCAGATGTTCTCCCTAATACTCTCTGCAGTCCTATTCCCTCCTTATCCAGACTGAGGGGCCTATTGGAGCTCACTGGGGAAAAAAAGTTTATAAATGGAAAAGACAGAATGCTTTTCATTGACCAACTCAATTGATCAACAAACAGATTTATTTTCAGAACCTGAATCTTCCTTTCAGAGACAGTAGGCATCTTTCTAGTTATTTTTAGTTCAACCTCTTTGTATCAAGTTATTCAGAACTTTTGTTACTCATTTCCTTAGGGAAAATGCCTTCAGCAGAATATGCCCTTTGGTATACTTCATCAGTGCCAAACCCCGGGAGAGGGGAAATATCAGAAGTGTTTTCCACTGCCAGGAAAATACTAGCCAATGGAGCATGTGGTTGGACTAAAAGTATCCCACACTCCTCGTAGTGTACAATAAAGGGAAGTTTTATTGACTCTGAATGTTATTCATCTCAGGAGGCTATTTATTAATAATTGTCTTTAGGGTTACAGAAGATGGAGACCCCTATGTCAGAGCAGATGATGAAAATTATGAGAATGACTCTGTCCGCCAGCTGGAGAACGAACTGAAAATGGAGGAGTACCTGAAGCAGAAGCTGCAGGATGAGGCATACCAGGTGGGAAAAGGACACCAACTGCCCACATTTCTCCATAAGTGAGAGACAACAGTGCACCATAGACGCCCAGTGCCATCTAACCAGTCCTGGGCTCTGGATTGTGATTTCTTCTCAGTTAATAGAGCAGCTACATCCCAAAAACTGCTGCCACTCTTCAACAGACACGCATGCATCTATCTTTTGTGCATATCCAGGAAGACCACACTGCCTGAGGCACACAAAGGTAGTCCATAAGCTTAGCAGGGTACCAAGGTGGGACAGAATTGCCTCTGAACTTGTTCTCTGCCCGTGCCCACCAAGTCACTCAGACTTAATTCCCCCTACCACAGATGCTGGCTGTTAGTGTCAAGTTGTCTTGCTATTTTCAGATATTTTTTTCTCCAGTAGCAAAAACAATTCATAATGTTTCTCCAGTGTGAACTGAAGCTAAAGTGCAGTCTGTGTGTTGTTGTCATTGTCAGAATTTGGAAGTACAGAAAAGGGTCTGAAACGAATTTTATCCCAGGGGACCAAGTATTCAACAAGCATCTGGTACAGAGAAGCCTGGGGATTTCTTTTTAAGCACCTCCCTGAGGAAGTTCTCAAAGGGCATTTGTTAAAGAGTCTGAGTAAAGCAGATATGCCAGGGAGAGCTGGAATTTTGTAGATATCCATGTCTGCATCTTGATCTCCACTTCTTCTGGATGTAATGGATTACTGCCAGGCTTTAAGTTATTCTGAGTTGCATCATCTGAATATAAAATGCATTACTTTTTATAAAGTTGGTAGTAGTGTCAGTAGGAGGGCAAACCTAGTTCAGTTATTTGGGAGCAGAGCTGAACCGAGCAGAAATAACTCTTTTCCCACGTGGTGATCAGTTTGAATTTGGACCTCAGCCCTACAGAACATAGAACAAAAGATTAAATGGGCTAAAAAAAACAGATTAGGCAGGTTCTGAGAGATCAGACATATGCAAATGAGATTCAAAATCACTTTATGGGCAGGAATTCTTTAAGCTGCTGATTTCTGGGGGCTAACAAAATCTAGCCTTTTTTTCTGGTACTTTTCATCTAGTGTCCAGTGCCAGTCACTTTGGAGACAATAATCTGGGACTGACAGGCTTGTGATGGAATGAAGATTGGCTGCTCTCTTGGTCTTCATTTCTGTAAAGCTGCTAGGATGTGTTAGTCTTGTAGAAGTTCATTGAGTCTTATCAAAATTGCAGGTAGTCTTGAGGTTGATGTGAGCATCTTCTTCTTGTTCTTGTTTATGCAGACCTGCTACATGCCCATGATAGCTTGCTAAAAGTCATTTCATTGCAAAGGTCTTTAAGGACACAAGAGAAGGAGCAGAATTGTTACAGACTATCTACAAAGGCAACAGCGGGTGACATGGGGGGTTGTCAGAATTTTTTATCCAAGATAGGAAGTGGCAAAAATCACAGCCTTTAAACTTCTGAACAGGATGAGCAGGTACTGCCGATAAAAAGAAAAGCAATTGTCAGTTATAAAGAAGGGGTGCCTCAATAGTCAGAGCTGTCAGGCATCAAATAATAAATGTTATTCTTGCTGGTCAAAAAACCATTTTCTTCAAGAAGAATAATAGACCAGTTTGTCTGTATTTCAGTTACAGTGTGGAAGTGCAATACTGTTGGCAACACTGTTCCATGAGTTTCACAAGTTACAAGGGGATTTTGTACATGCATAAATGTCAGTATGCATGTGCACTGCAAATAAGGGCAGTAGAAGTTATATATGTCAATCAATGCCACTGGGTGTTACTCTTGCTTCAGTCAAAACAGAGCTTTTCTGCTATCCTCCACCAACATTCCCAGAAGAAGGAGAGGAAATCTTCTCCTTATCAATGTCAGAATAAAACTCCTTCTGAATTTAGGTCAACCAAGGCTACGCCCAGGTGAAGTTTATTCCCCACTGTGTTACATTATTTGTTTCCAACAGGGGAACAATGAGGAGAAAAAAAAAAAAAAGGCTTTTTTTATTTATTTCAAAAATATATTTAGTGAAGGAACAGAAAGTTCTCATTTTAGACAAGTTCTGTTTAGCAGCATTTTTCCAAAAGAAATTTCATCATCTGCTTTACTGTCTGTGAGATTGTCAGCTCCTATCAGGCAATGATTTGACAGTAGTGACTTGTAAGTGGAATCTATTTTTAGTTGATAACCACAGACCCAAAGCATGAGAAGTCCTTCCCACTATGGCTGATGCCATTTCAATTACAGAACGGGTCTAAAGGAAGCAAGAAAAGGTAATAAGTGAGTAGGGACTACTAAGATGATTAGGAGTTGGTTTGACAGTGTCATGTATTGATCCTGGGATATGTGCTTTGGCAGTGGTTTGTTTTCTGCAATTTGCTGTTTATTTGTGGTGTTTTGCTATTCTATTCCTTTTTCTACTAATACCACTGAGTATTCTATAAAGACACAACTTCCTAGTTGCAAAAACAAAGGAAAATTGGGAAATTTCTGTTTAGGGTATCCTGTTGAACAGTGGCCAGGTCAACTATTCTCATTTGCATCAAACCACTGGAATTTATTACAAGCTATTTTACTGTCTGGTACTCACATGTACACTGCATTCATCTGGATTGTGAAAAAAAACTGGAAGCTGTAGCTATCATAATGCAATTGTCAGCTGAAAACTGCGGGAGGAACCCATACTAAGGTTACAGAATGGTAACTTCAGTAACAATCTGGTAACCTTTTTTATGTTATTAAATGTCTCACTTTGTGTAAAAACATTTAGAGAAACATGTAGATTTCGTGTAGCATGGAAAATGCTTGGTCCAAACCCACTCTTGTTATTTCATGTCACCTTGTTTCCAAGCAAGATTTTCATGCTAAACTCTAAATTAATATCAAAGTATGAGCAAAAAAACCAAGATACACGGGGAAATGAGGGACAGGGAACCTCAAAGGAGGCTTCTTTCTTTTCTTTTTTTTTTTTTTTTTTTTGAAGCATGTTATAAATAACAAGTGTCCATATCAGAAAAAAAAAACAAAAAACAAACACATATTAATGCACAAGTGTAAATGCTAACAGTGCTTATCCTCCCACATCTGCTTCCAGTTGTGTTCTTGTTACAGTCTTTTACTGGGTGTGTTATGTAAGACAGTTTTCACTGGTTTTATTTTCTGGGTCCCTAATTGCTCCCTTTATTTCTAGGCTTGTGCATGGCTTTCTTCAGAATAATACACTACCTGGCTGCTCACGGGCTTAATTTGTCATCTTCTTGTTTTCTATCCTTTGTTATCTACAGGTCAGTTTGCAAAGTTGAGTGCAATATCCTTCTCTCTCCTCTCAAGTAAGTATTGTTATAATTTAGAAGACTGTTTGGAATTAATCCTCATAATGTGTGTTTCAGTTGCCATGCACCTTGAGCTGTCTGAATGTATGTGAGGATGCTGTTTCTTTCTTCTTTTAATCTGTGTTGGGACGCCTAGGAATCTCTCTAAAGCAGTTCTAATTTACTGAAATGTGCTCCTAGTCCTGAGGATTCCCATTAAGCTACCACCCTTCTTATCTTTTTCCTTTGTTGACCATCAGAGTGAGAACCTGGGCTTTTCATCCTTGAGGATGACAAAAAATATATTAGCCAGTACAGAGACACCTTATCCAGAAGATAAGGAATCAGATTACATTTCAGGAGACCTGAGTTTAATTCCTTTCAATGCTTTAGTCAATGCTAGGATAACTGAAGTAAATAATTTCTGGTGAGATCAGAACATCTACTCTAGTGTGTGAAACAGAAGTTAGGCAAATATTAATAAAAAAACAATCCACCAGATGCTTAGACACCACAGAGGTGTCTTCAGATGTGTTGTGGAAGTTTAAAATACCCCAATCCAAAGTGCAAGGCACTCAGCTACTAGCTAGAGTCTGGCAATTCAGACATGGTAAGAAGATCCATAAATTCCCTGCTGTCCTGTATTCAGGTCATGTTCCTTACACATGCCAACCTCGCAGTTGCAGCACTGAGATTAATGCCAAGTTCAGCAATTGTGTTTTTCTTCAGGAAGACAGACAACGTCTATTTTTATGAAGTAGCCTGTTACTCTGAACACTTGCCCAGGAAATGGGAGGCCACACATTTCCTTTTTGCCTCATCTGAAGCTGTGGGCTCTGCATTGCTGACTTCCTAGGAGAGTGCCCTGCTGTGGAGATGGCAGTGAGACAATGCTGTCCATCCTACTGAGACACTGAACCATGGGGTATTGGGGCCAGAAAGGGAGGAGAAGTCAGAATAGGAGTCTGAGTCTGGTCTGCAAACTGAGCCTCTTCCTCAAAGCCAGAACTAATGGCGAACTGAGGTCAGTGATCAAATGGACACTACAACTTGGGAGCCAGGGTCATGTTCAGATAATCCCCTGCTCCAATAATCAAAACCAGTGAACTAGCCTGTGCCAACTCTAGCAGGAACTCATATTTGTTACATTTCGTATGCCATGTTTTATGCTAGACCTCCTTATTTATAAGACAATTTTGATGGTAAAACTTGACCCTGATTCAAGGGGTTTGCAGCTTCTACTGACAGTAAAATTTGGCTGTTAAAGTGTGATCCTTGTAAAAGTAGCTTCTAGTAGGTACTTCCAAAGCAGTGTCTCTCGAAGCTAAATTAGAATAAATGGATGTGAAAAGCAAATAAACTGCTAAGTACCCAGAGTACTATAAACACCAAATAACTGCTCATAAAAATTCTCCTACTTTGCCCCTCAGGTTACATTCATTTTCTCAGTAGCCTTGTTAAAAACATGAGCCGTGTAGAGTTTCCTAAACTCTGACAGCCAGCAAAGTAAGTTTTTTTATTCTGTTATGTTGCAGTTGTCAGTTGTAGATGAGGTCACAGGAAAAAGAAAATAGATCTTTCAACAACAATGTGTGCATATAAAGGTATATAGTGGAAATGTTATATATAACCGAATTTAATTACAGTTTGCAATAATAACTTGAAAAAAATCCTTTTCATTAGAATTATGAAACTCAGGCAATTCCATTTAAGGTTTTGTTTTTGGTTAGGAAGCAATGTTAACATAGTGATGTGAGGAAACACATACTGCTGTACAGCCTGGCTTTCTTGAAAATATGTATCCTGTCTCAAATTAGCAGAGATCTGAGACTTCTATCTCATCTCCTGGATGCTTTTTGAAGCATTTTGAAACCCTGTCAAAAAGAAAGAAGAGTTTCATAGTGAAATTCTTTTGGGCTCCCAGGGAAGCCCTTTAACAAGTAGCAAAGACTGTAGTATTCCCACCAGCTGTAAAAGCCCAACTGTACAGAAATTAACATCCAAATCTGGTGGATTTGGCACTTCACCTACATCCACACGAACAAACTGTGTTATGGTACATTATGATAAATACATCTACATGTAGTGTGCCTTAATCTTCTCAAGATTCACTCTCTAGTGAATATGGAAGTCTGTCATATCTTGTGTGTTTTATTTGGTACTTACATTTCATGGCATTGGAAAAGTAATTTCAAAATAGTTCATACCAGTCATGGTACCTAAAGTGCTTTTACTGTTTACATGGGGTTCCTGCTTGAGGCTTAGAAACTGCATGAAGAGTTTTACTTCTAAGCTATAATTCAGCCAATAATGTTACAAATACAGTCCATATGACCCCAGATGGCCATATGAGGTAGAAAGCCAACAGACTTTCTTATTTCACAGCAGTATTACATTTGTGTTTAAAAAAAAAAAAAAAAAAAGATGGGGGAAATGAGATCAGTTTATTGTAACTGCCTATGAGTGATATGGCCAGCCACAGAGTTTTGTTCATTTCCTCATTTCATTCATCTGGGGTTGGTGTCATTTGATTAGCGCTTTTTGCACTATATTTGCATTTTTAAAAGTGCTAACGTACAGTTTTCTGGAATTGATTTTGAAATAACATCTAGTATAACAAATTCCCAAGACAGCAAGTGATTCCAGTAATATAGAAAACATAATTTAATCGTGTTTTCAGTTTGCTTTTTATGTTAAATGTACTTGTTTTATTTTTAGTAAAGGAACAAAGTGAATTTGAGCTTGTTTTCAGCAGGCACTAGTCAGATCTTAACATCAGGTGAACCTGCAGCTTTGATGTTGTTTTGCCTCTATCCCCTTGATAGCAGTTGTTTTATTGCCAAGGATAGCCAATGGGAGCAGAAAACCTCCATTTCAGAAACTGGCTAAAAAGTTGTCATTTTCAATTAATTGCTGTCGACTTGTGCAGTGGACATGTTCCCACAAGACCTACAATTTCCTAGATTTTCTAAAACTATTCTTTCTTAATACTGGCACACATTTGAGTTGGTCATGCCTAATTCATTTATATGCATTAGTAGAAGAGAAGGTGTGAAAAGCTAATACAAATCAGACCTAAAGCATCCATTGAGAGGGAATACAGGGAGAAGTCTTTATTAGAGGTTTTGTTCTCAGTTTTTTAACAGTGATTTTCCCTCTCTGGATCAAAACATGTAATAATTTCAGTTTAAGACTCAGATCCATTCCCACTCCAAACCCTCTCACTGACTCAAACCTTATAATGTAAACTTTTGTGGGATCTGGGGCTTTGGTTGGCTGTGGGTGACATTTTCCACTGCAGAACTGCCTCAATGGTTTGTATCGAAACAGGTGGAATTTTTTGCAAGCACAAAACCCACAAATCCTCTTAATTTTTTTTTTATATGAATGCATTCTTAAAAAAATACTATATATTCAACTTGACTGTTTTTCCAAGACAGAAATCTTACTGAGTAACCCTTCCATATTTTTCTCATCTCTTGCTTTTTTTTTTTTTTTCCCAAACTCTGTTTCCATGTTTACCAGCAGAGATGAGGAGTATCTCTGCTGGTAGAGAGATGGTGTGGTCTGTCCAGTCCACCCAGTGTGCCACTGTGAGAAGGGCTTGGTGTTGGCTAAGCCAAAGGGCACAGAAGAATTGTGTGAAGTGCTGTGAAGACACAAGTGCCCTGCATCCATGTTTTTTTCTGGGAAGGAAAGATTTTAAATCTAGCATGCAGTTCACTGGCTGTTGATATTTTCAGTCCTTTGCAGTGCAGACTTCACCATTTACTGTTTGGGAAAGATGGGACACAGGATCAGCCCAGATTCCAAGTCAGGTTACTAGCCCTCAGCTGATGGACATGTGGGTGCCGTATTTGCTGTGTCCACAGCCTGAGGTCACATTTCCCAGCTGTGCCCTGGCCTCTCTTCAGCTCTAGGGCCCTAAATGCTACTACTCAGAGCAGCTCACACATTCACAGACTTCATGCCAGGAGGTCAGGAGATCACAGAGGAGTGATGGTTGAGTGTGATGGTTGACTGGACCTTCAGAAGGCAATTTGGTCCAGTCTCCCACCTGATGCAGGTCTAACTCCAACACAAGACCATGGCAGCCATGGCTTTCTCTAGCAAAGATTAAAACTTACACAGATAGAAATTTCACCACCTCCCTGGGCAGTGTCACCTTTCTCTTAGCTTTTATTTTGTCCTCATGTCCAAGACTGAACCTCCCAAAATGCCTTTGTCTTTTTTCTGTATTTTTCCTGTACTTCACCACTGCCAACAAGATTTTTGCTTTGTTATCCCTTTAAATACCCCTCAAATAGCTGCTAACTGATCCTCCCTCGGCATTTCTGCCCCAAGCCCAGTTTCTTCAGCCTCTTCCTCCTAAGCCAGTGATGCAGCAGTGAAGAAGAAGGATACAGGCTGTAGGTGAACTGCTCAAATATGTAGAAGTCATACTCTACTAGCACAACCAAATGATTCAGCATCCTTTTTTGTTTTTTTCCTGAACAAATACAAAAAAAGCAGAATTATCGAGACCATTCCATTTGAAAATAACAGGAGGCTGGCAGCACAGTAATTTTCAAAAATGTCTGCTACATTGACTCAGTTATGTTTTGGTTTTCCTCTTTATTTTTCTCCTTAAGTCCTCCTCTTCTTAGCATGTAGGTGTAAAAAAGGCTGTAAAAGAACTGTGACCAAGTTAACGGGGAAGGAACAGCTTTAGTTCAGTGAATTCAGTTCTAAAATTACACAACTGATAGGGGTGTTTTTTGAAAAATCACTGAATGATAAGTAACAGAAAAGAACCTGTGGATTCAGTTACAGAAAAGGTCAAGAAACAATTTTATATCATGACAAATCCTGTGAGTCTCGACTTGGAATTAATTTTGGCACTTCTAAAATGTTGCAATGAATTTGAAGCTCTGAGGTTCATTAGTACTCATTATTGCTTGTATGAAAATCTCTCTATCCCAGTGCTGGCTGTGGAATAGAGACAAGCCTTGAGAGAATTTAGAATAACCCTTCCCACACTCCACCAAAGAGAAGTAATTTATCCAGAAAATTTGAAGCAAACCCAAATACTTTGCATTACTGTCAATGCATCTTAATGCATCCCATGTTTTACAAGCCCCTCTTATTTTACTCTTGGATACTGTCAAGAAATATGAGATGTTCCTATATTTTTGGATATTAGGAAAAATTTTATCATTGACAGAGTTGCCAAACACTGAAACAGGTTGCTCAGGGAAGTAGTTCCTGAGTCACTATCCCTGGAGGTATTTGAAAGTCAGGTGGATGTGGCACTTGGGGACAGGGTTTAGTGGTGAACATGGAACACCTGGGTTAATGGTTGGACTCAATGATCTCAGAGGTCTTTTCCAACTTAAATGGTTCTATGATTTACATAACCCTGAAATTGATTCAGTAAAAATCAGTCTCAGGAAGCTTTGAACTGACCTCTTCCATGCCTTTCATTTTCATTTTTTGGCCGAATTGTGAAGAACAAAATGTTCCTTTACTAAGATTTCCAAGTAAGTTTGCAGTCTTAAGCAGTGCAGATGCATGTCTGATTTTTAAAACATATAATTTAAAATGTACCTTAGACATTTTTTATGAAACTCTCATTAGACTTGCAGTGCAGGTTTCCTTTACTTTTATCAACAAAATGTTAATGCCTGTCTTTTGTAACTGCTTGACACAAGGAGACACTAAATTAAGATCATCATACCATCTGGCATGCTTAGGTATTAGGGAATGGGATGGAATTTTTTGTGGTTGAATAATTAATATAATCAAATGATGTCAGGAAGGAAAAGCAGCAAGCACCTGACCTTTCTTATTCATCAGATTTGATTTAACTATTTTTGCTGAAGTAATTTGCATTTCATCTCCCATCTTGTAGACCAGCTTTATGCCTGAAATGAGTGGAAAAGAATTCATGTCAGTAGGGTGTGGTATTACGCTGTTATTATCACATCTCATGCAATTCAGATTGGTTTTCTCTCTGAGGTAGTTCAAGAGAAAAAGGGATGAGCTCCTTAACTTTGGAAGAGTCAAGTGTGTAAACAGTGTCCTTACAATAAACGTACCAAAACCAGAAGTTTGCAGTATTACCTGACTGTAGATCCTGACATAGTTCTGAGAAAGAGCAGCAGTAATCTATCATGAATTTTCCATTACCAACTAACATTTTGATGATTCCTCTATAGGAATTTAAGATACTCACTGATGCTTCAGGATATGGAGGAGCACCAGGAGAAACTGGTGCACCAGTGGACTGGACTGTTTATGAGCTATCATTAATCAGCCTTTTAAGTAACTACAGGTTTCTTTAGACAGCGTTAAAACATACCCAGGGCAAGACATTAATATGTGAGGGCATGCTGGTGATGGTGAGGGACTGTTAATCGGGTGGCTGAACACTGTGCTCAAGGGGAATAATCCATGAGTTTGCTGCCAACAGGCTATACATAGGGGAACCCAGAAGGGTATAATGGAAGGGAAAATGGGAACACTGCAAGTCTATGTCAGTGCAGACTGAGTTACCCCAGGGTCCCTTAGCAGAGCAGGTAACAGTCTCTTTGCCCCCAGCAAGGAAAGTTTCCAACTTCCCACATACCCTGTAAGTTCCTGTTTACAGCTCAAATGCCTAGGCTCACCTAGGTAGGATGGCTTTTTGCCTTTCTTAACTCCATAAGGGGTAACCACAGGAACTGACCAGCTCCTCCTTTTCTCTCTCAATAAAGCAGCACTCAGAGGCTTTACTTGCTCTGCCTGTTTGGGTGCAGCATCTTAAACCAGCACTCTTTAAAAACCTTCCTTAAACATTTCTCAACAGGGAAGCTGCAGTCAGACAGACAATGACAGCTACGTAAGAACTGATGATGAGGAGAGCTGCTTTCGGACAGACGATGAAGAAAACTCAGCTGCAAACTTCACAGAAGAATGGAACCAAGAGGTGCAGCGTCTGTTGACAAAAAAATCACATAACTAAGTTCTGAGGACTGTAGCACAGTACTTTTGTTCTAAGAGTTGTAGTTTGTAGATGTGTGTTTTTGACAACAAGGCTTTTGTTTAAAGCTAACTTATATTAGCTACATCTTCTGTAACATGGCTCATTACTGGTGAAGCAAACAGACTGACGTACGTACTGCTGTTACACAGGACAGCGGTATTAATAACTCACGTGAACCCTTTGCACATGATATTGAACCTGTTCAGTTTACAATGACAATACTGTTTATAGATAGAAATTTGATTTCTGAATACTTTGAGATTTTAGTAGATTGGTTTACTATATACTGTACATTTTTTTCCACAGATGAAATAAAAAGCGACAATTATGCATTTAACACTGAATAATAATACTCCTGAGTGTATATATCTAGTAGCCCAAAAAACAAAGTACCAGACTATCTTTTGCAATTTGTTTGCAAGTCTTTAAATTAAGGCTTATACAAAATGTACTAAAATAATGATTATAATAATATAATTAATAATAATAATAATAAACTTCTCTAATTTAGGGCTAACGTGTAACTTAGGAATGTTTCTTTCAAAATAATCTAACAAATCAGCCATAGAAGTTAGTGTAAATATTTTTTTTCCAAATAGATATCATATACAAAAGGTGACATTCAAATGATATAGAATCTAGTTTTTAAATCAGCACAGATCTTCTTAAAACTGTGAACTATGTTTTGAAATACTCGTTGCTAAAGCTGTTTATAAACCACAGGTGCCATAAGATCCCTGAACTGACTGATGTTACGTATAATCCTCCATGGTATTGTTTCATTGATGTTTTAGCTTTAGTAGGCATGTGTTCAACAAACCGGCTCTTTCCATCTCTCTGCCCCTCCTCTCCTCCCCGCCCCCCTTCATTATGTTATTTTCGAGGCCTTCAGCTTTAAATGTACAGGCTTAAAGTGCGCTTGCAACTGTTCTCTTTTGATTTCCGAATGTGTACTGCCTTAGCCAGCCACCAGATGTTCTGCATGCTCTCTTGGAAATGTGTGGTGAGAACTCCTTCAGAGCTGGATGGAGAAATAGCGATCAGTGAAAAGCACAAGAAGAGCGGTGGATTTTTTCAGAAGGACAGCCATACAGTTACAGAATTGGAGATTGGTCTGGTTTAGTGATTTTTTTCAGTATCAAGGCATTTCAGGAGAAAGGAGACTGACCTGGCCATTGTGGGTTAGACAGTGAGACTGCTGGCTAAGAAGTGTTTGCTCTGCTGTGACTACAAACCTACAGATACCCTGAGCAGGGATTGACACAAATCAGCTGTAACGTGCTCCCCAGAGCACACTGCTTGGAAATAAAGGTGACACCCGTATGGCACATAGCACTGCCCTGCAGAGAAACCAGAGCCAGGCCCTCAAGAGCTGGAGTAGCAGCGGCCAGGGACACCAGGAGATGTTCCATGCTGGCTGCCCAGCCCTCCTGAGCTGCGCAGTGTATGAGCTCAGGACCACCTCTGTGCCAAGGTAATTTTACTGCCCTAATACAACGTTAGGCTTCCAGTACCTGGCTGATCTGAAGTGACACTGTCTAACAGCCCTAAAAACAGTGGTGTTTCATACAGATATTTCACACCAGCACAGTTTGCCTACAGCAAGTGATGAGATACCCATCTAAAGCAGGTGAACATGGCTTGTCTGTCCTTGCTTTCATGGTGACGTGGATGTGCGCTGCCGTATTTACCTGAGATTGTAGCTCGACCCAGTGAGTCCACTTGTTTGCATGCACTCTCCAGGCTCATGGCTGTTTCCCTGGGCACTATGTGTTAGGGAATGAGTATCTGTATGAAAGAGCTGCTGCCGTTTTTCACTTCCATATCGTTTTATTGCGTACGCAGATCTCTTGTCCACATCTCCTTGCATATCTGGGCTTGGTCTCAGACATCCAAATGCATACTAAGGGTTCCAGATATCTTCATGTAAGCTTTTCATTTTTGCAATCACTGGTCTTTGCTCCTGGGGTATGTGCCGTCCTGGCAAGGCAGGCACCATATCCTCCACTGCCTCCTCCTCCAACCTCCTCTCAGGAATGGGTTAGCCTCCACTAGTGCCTAGCACTCCATGTTTTAAGCTTCTCCAGTGAACCTGTAGACATTGCTGTCAGCTCAGGATTCCAGGCAAGCATTTTCTGAACAGGAAGAAGACAAGCTAGAACACAGCTACATGCAATGGCTGATTAATTCTACCCATGTCATGTTTAACTGTACCCAGAGTAAGAGATCCCTCTCATCATCTTAATGTCTGCGTGCTCATTATCACTATGCTTAAAATAGATGCAGTAAACTAAATCCATTGCAAGAGCTTCTAAACTAGGAGTAACGACTAAAGTTGACTAATCAAGCACCTTTCTTTTAGGCTGGTGTCAACAAGGTGATCCCTTAGAGCTGGAGTTCTGGGTCCCTTATGCCCTGGAGCTCTGAGATGAAGCACCTCTTACTTAGCTCTCCAAATGTCTATTTTAAGCATTTTCCAACTGTTAAGCTGGCTGCATTTTCACCCAGCTGGTCTTTTGTCTGTTTGTTGAATATTATTTTGGTTGTGGTTTGCGGTCATTAAAACAGTTACAGAAGAGGTCCCTGGCATGGCCCTTTTCTTAACTACCAGTGGCCCACCACAGCAGTCAAAACTCCGGGTGGTTTTACTGTCACTGGAGGAAAACCAGTGGTTTGGAATCAGGAGACAGGGATGTGAAGATGTATAGGGTCCTTGAATGTCCAAAGTGAAGGTGGAGAATGGGTTGTCTGTAAGTAGTAATGTTAACTAAACTGCATAAAAAAGGTGTGTGGCCTTTGTTGTGAAATAATATGTATTTTCTTATATGCATGAGCCAAATTGTTGCATCATAATTTATCATAAGTGTGTCCACCTTTACTTTCAGTCGTCATCTTCTCCCATCCTTATTGGTTCTTGGCAATTACTGTAGATAGACCTTGTAAATATTGCAACCTCGGGTTGCTGTAATCACGTTGGTTCAATTCAGCAGACGGAGCTGTGAACAACAAGCACTCCACTGTGTCCTAAAGACAAAAGGGCATTTTTACCTTTGAACCAAAAAAAAAGAAAAAAAAAAAAAGTATGAGGAGTTACATCTTGAGGCTACTAACTGTAAGACATTTTTAAAGCTACTGTACTTGACACCACTTGAGACAGATATAGAGACACTAAAGATGTCACGATATTCATTGGTATTGTAACAGAACTGCTATTGTATGGGGTTTTTGTATTGCTGTTAAGTATTGTTTTGTGTGTGTGTGTTGGAACCTACTGGGGACATGTTATATTTTGAAGTGATTAAACTATTTAATTGTGTGTCTATATTTTGGAATGGAATTATTTCTTCATTAAAAAGATTTTTAAAAGGAATTTACAGAGCATTGTGTTTGTGGCTTATTTTGGTTTTGGATGTCCTATTCCATGTAGCCCGAGCAGCGTTTTCTTTCAGCAGGGAAGGAAGCTCCATCCCCATGATGCAGCAAGCAGTCTTTGCTTCATCCACACTGTCTCCTCTTCACAAGATAACTCCTTCCACCTCCTTTGGAAGTGCTTTGAGCATGATACGGAGAAGTACCTGCTTTCAGTGGCCCAAGCAGTTTCTTCTTTCTTCCTTTCTTAATTTTCTGTATCTTAAGCAGTTTCACATCCTGAAAATGCAGTTCCCCTGTTTGTAAAACACCTGCTCCAGTATCCACTTAACCTCAATGAAAATGACCATAAGCAGAGACGCCAGGGCCTGACAAGGTGCCTGGTACAGACCTACGAGGGGGAACCCTGGTCCTCAGGAACCTGTAGTACCTGCAGAGGTGTAATTTTTTCTTACCCACTGTGTTTCTCTGGCCTTAGAAGGAGCAAAACCTTGGAACAGGCACATTTGAATGGCTTTACCACACACAGTCATGTGTTTTATTGCAGAAGGACATAAAGTCTTTGTTTTTCCAATTCCACTTTGAAGATATCTTTCTGTATCAATTGTTGGTAATTACAGCTGGTTGCTAACCTAAAAGAGCACGGAGTTGCAAGGCAAGAGCTACTGATTAAAGCAACAAGTCTGTGTCCTGATGCAGTGTTTGGAGGTACTTCATCAGGACACGGCAGTGTCTGGAGGCACTGCCCGCCTGTGCTGCTGGCCTGTGGTGGGAGCCCTTCCCAGCTCTGCCACCGCCATGGCAGAGCGATGCCACTGGCAGCTCAGTGCAGCCAAAGGGTCCACAGCTGTGCACACAGCATTGTTAGCTGGCCAGTTAGTTACACCAGGGTGAGATCTGTTAGAAGGAAAGCAGTAGCAGCACACCAAAAATATTCTCTATCTACTTACCAGATATCCCAGGGTCTTGGGAAGCTGATAGAGCCACGTCCGCTGCCTCCTTCAGTGTTGACTGCTCTGGTAACCTATAAATCACCAGGGTTTATTTGCCCTAATTCCCCTGTCTACATGGTGACGTTCTTCAATAAAGAGGATCATTTTACACTGTAAATTGTTTGCCAGATCGGCTGAACTTTGCCTCCACAATCCCAGTCAAAATTCATATCCGCAGGATTGTAATGTATGATGACATATCATCAGCTCATGAGGATAGCTCTGTTTTATCCATGCATAATCCCAAATTGCTGTATTCTTATCCTAACCCACAATCAAGTCTGTGGCCCTTGGGGAACAAAGGAGCCAGTGAAAATTAATTTACGAAGTCTGTTTTCCTCTTTCCCTCTTGGTTACTCTAGCTGCTTTCTGCTCCCCCCAAGGAAAACAGACTTATATGGGAAGAAATAAATTGTTTCATTTGCAAGAGGAAATAAAATAAAAATACTAAAATAAAACCAGTAAAATTTAAAACTTAAAAAATTTAAACCACTTAGTGGTCTAAGTTGGTACATTGGCTACATCAGCACCGAACTAGGGGACTAAAAGCATCTGGAACTTTCTAAAAGCACCTGGGAATTTCATTCAGCTGCACACAATTCTATGATCGCTCTTCCAAAATTCGCCTGGGAGGCCTGTTGTTCAGCAGCTGCGTATTCCCATGCAAGCAGCCCTTAATTCTGAGTGAAACTTTGTCAGAGAGTAATGCAGGAATATGAAGCTGAGTTTATCACAGAAATAGGTTATGTGGGGTAGAAAGAGAAGTCTCCTCTATTGTTCCACGAAGAAAAATGCACTGAGGAATTTCACACCCTTCAGTATCATCCCATGTAATACCCCAGATAATCTGCATATTAAGGATTCCTCTTTGATTTCTCCTGAGTGATTGCCACCGGTTGAGTTGCCTGTGGATTATGATGGCTGTCCCACACTGTCAGCACTGCACCAACACACCTGTGGCTGTAAAGGGCAAAGCAGCAGAATAAGCTGCAGCTCTCCCTGATTTCCCATTTCCCTGGAAACAGGTCTCAGACTGGAATAATCCTTTCTGAGGGCCCACCATTCTGGTGCTTCTTAAAAAAAGCTGTTTTGGGGAAGCAACCTCCTAAAACAAGGCTGGGGGCTGTGCACAGATCAGCAGGGGAACCATGCAGCCACATCATGCAAGCTAACATAGGATGGTTATTGCAGCTTAGAGATAATAAAGATTAAAGAGATAAATGATGTTAAATAGTAGTTGCTTTTCTGTGTCTTGGAAGGAAATGAAGGAGGCCCTGGTGCATTTTTTCATTGGTGTGTGATGCTGCAGAACGTAGTTTGCTATTTAATACAACATAATTTACCACTAGCAAATTAATTTCCTCATGACTTACATTTTTTACATAACACTCAGCAGTGGCCAGATGGCAGATGTGTTGGGCTTGCTGCTTGTTATGCTAATTGTCAGCCGTAAAACCATGAAAGCTGCCCAGTTAACACTTCTTGCCTGCTTGCTATAGCCCAGCATTGCTGTTAGAGGCCAGCATTGCCTGCAGCCAGCAGGTTCAGTCAGAAGAGGCACCCTGCAAGTGCGTGTTTTGACTGGTTTTCTTGTTACTGCTCAGTTCAGTTTTGGCCCCTTTTGGTACATTCCTGTCCAAAAAAGCCAAAAGACTGGTTTCCAGTATGGGGATATGCCTGTGTGCACCTGTGTTTCTCAGCCTTTGGTCTCTGCAGCTGCCAGATCCCTGAAAGCCTCCCCTAACCCCAGCCTGGAGCACGGAGCACGCATCCCTGCTCCTTCTTGCTCCGCCACAGGCACCTCAGTACAATTTCAAGATGTGAGGTGCTCCTCACCTGCACGAGCATTTCTCTTTATATTTTTCTGGGCATTTCAGTCTCACACCAGGGTGAAATGAGATTTGCCTGAAACCTCCCCGAAAGCTGTTCAGCATGGCCTCATGGAGCAGGGGCTGCTGCTCGCCTGGGAAGGGCATTTCTCGTCTCTGCTCTCCTGTCCCTCTTCCCACAAAAGCTGCCATGGGGCCCAGACTGGAGTTTCTCCTGGGTAGGATCCCTTTCTCAAGTCAAAAGGTTTCTTTTGGAATCCAAAATCCTTCCCTGGTTTCACCGAACATATTTGTACCCCTCTGCCCCACAGAGTTACCTTCTCTCTTGCACCCCTCCCTCACTAGTGCCAAGTCCAATTACACTCTTTTTTTTTTTTTCCTTTTCCTTTGTTGTTTCTTAAAGCTTCTGGCAGTCACTTTAAATCCCCAGTGAAGTTATGCTCCTGCACTGCTGAGATCAGTAGGAATCAGGTGCTTAGAAAGACTCTGCACTTCTTTAACATCTGCCTTCATGTGAAAAACCAAGAGATTACAGGCTCTGTAAGAAGCACCTTTCATCACCATATTTATTATGTAGGTACAACTAAACTTAGAAACTGCCCCCACCCCCAAGAGACCTCAGCTCTGACAAGCAGCCCTGTTGTCCTCTCCACAAAGTAGAAAAGCTGTGGTTTAGTACTTTTAAGTGGCACTGTGTGCTCTCCAGAGCCAGTTTTCCATTTGCTCCCTATAACTGCATCCTAACTCTCAGCTCGTTTGCCCAGAGACCCCCACAGCCCCCGGCAGACTGAGGGGCTTGAGCCCTGTTTGTTTCGGCTGAAAGGCTGACACTTAAGCTAGTGCAGATGGTAATTAGTCCTTGAGGGAGCGCTGCTTCCAGGGAATCCTCTCATCACTCGCTCTGAGTCATACGGTTACTGGAGGACACTTCACCAGAAACACATTTTCTGCCACGTTTTGGATCTAAGCTCTCACAGATTAATTGAGTTCATGTATAAATGCAAAAAGGAGGAACGCAGAACACTTTTGTAAGGTCGCAATTGTGAGAAATGTATGCAGACAGCCACCTGTTCACCAATTAAAAACTCAGTTTGTAGGGGTTATACAAAGTCTGCACAGTTCTAGTATTGATTGTTTGTCTGGCAAAGTGATAATCAACAGAAAAATTAACTGGGTTTGACTGCAAGTTGGGATTGCCAAGGCTGATGGTGCCCGGAAGCAGAAAAATTAAACTGTTTTATGTTTATCTGGGGATGCTTCACTTAACCCAACAGGAGAAAACCCGGAGGACTAAAACCAAATGAAAACCAGATCACTGGTTCAGCCGCTATTCAGTGGCCAGCTACCGCTTTCCTCGGGAAGCAATTCGTTATTGCCCTCACATTTTGCACTGCTGGGAGTGAAACATCTCATTGCTCGGCTAACACTGCCGAGTGGCAGGTGGTTTTCCTGCCGTGAGGACACAGTGGGCTCAGCCCTGCCATGGCTGGGCCATTAGGTACAGCTGAGGTACAGCAACAGAAATTTGCTCTAATAGCTCTCTCAAGCTGATAGCGGGACTGCATCTGGTCAGCCCTTTAATAAAACGTGATGAATAACCATGGGGTGTTTTCCCTGGCAGCTGAAACCTTTTCCAAGATGGAAATAATGTTCGTGGCTTTAGTCACCTAACAGATGAGACACAAAAACCAGTGGCCTTGTCCAGAAACCATGAGCCAAGCCTAATGCTGGGCTGAGGTTTCACACTCAAGCTCTGTGGCCAGCACATTAAAAAAAAAAACCTGGGAAAGGCAAGGCTTGAGTTGTTTTGAGTCTCTGCGTCATGCCCTGTTGCCTAGGTAGCTACATTTAACATTCAGGAACTTGTTTCTAGGAGTTATGAGCTAGGGAGATAAACAAGCTCTTTTAAGGATGCAGAAGAGAAGAGAACTCGAATTTGGTTTGCTATTTTTACTTTGTTGTGCTCATTTAGACATTCATGGTCTAATGATGACCCAGAAACACAGATAGCCTGCGGAAGTGTTTGCCTTGCTCTCCTCAGCCAGCTTTGTATGCCCAGCCCTGTGTAATCCCTGGCACTGACACACACACACACACACACCTGCACTGATCAGTTTGTTCTTGTTACATTAAGGAAAAAATGACACTCCAGATTGCACAGGGTGAGTCAAACGTAGTAA